ATTTACAATAACTAACTGCTTTAGGTTACGCATTCAAAAATTCATGAATATCAGGGTACAATAGGCATTAAATGCAAGTCAAAATGGTATCAGAAAATGTATTTCCGTAGAAGTAGTAGATAGAATAATAGTGCATTGGATAGAACTCTCAACTAAATGCATATATAAATAGGTGGCACAGAAATGTAATTGTAACTGAAATAAAATATAAGTTTCAGGGGAGGGAGTGAATATCACTCATTGGTGTGGGAAAAATATGAATAATACGAAGATGTTAACAGACAAATGGATTACGCTGAACGGAAGTTCGAGGACTGACAATTAACAAATACAACGATAAAAAGGAAGGTCCAATTAGTAAACTGCAATCAAATGATAAAAATAAGATATAGCCGATGAATAAGAAGCAATTATTCGACTATCGATGAGACATTTGTAACACTCAGTAAGTTTCTTATTCCGGTACTGTACACTTTCAGAATGATAACAGGAAATATGAAAATGTAAAGGAAGGACAACGATCATCCAAGTTTATATATATATATATCAAGAATCAGTAGCCGTATAGATGGGATGATATCATATGAAATCATATACATCAAGTTGCATACATATCATCATCTTGATCCAAACTAAGCATATCCATCTGCCAAAACTCTTAGGCTCCATTTTTATATATTTCAGCCCGAAACGAAGTACACAGACTTGAGATACATAGTTAACAGATATTATAAAATCAGTCATTGTTTCAGTCCTTTTAAATAAGAGTAGGAAACCCCCACATCAATAGATAAAAGATGTCATTCTAATATTACTCGATGATATGATTTCAATGTACTTATCATCAAGAGAAATTAATTTTTAACTGGTTGCTCACTAACATGATTAGAGATGAAAAGGAGATTGAATGTAGTTTACACATATTTCTTGTGCTATAATGACAATCTTACCGCTGAGAGATTATTAAATGGTATGTTAGATACTTAATCTGAGTTGATAAGAATTTATAAGTTTTATAAGCATTTGGATTACATTGCACTTCAACAATTCCTGTTTTAATAAGTAATCGATGAGTAATATCAGCCCATGCATACTCACTAGATAGTCCGGCCAAACGCATGTGGAAGTGATAAACACATGATTGACATGACGTCTTATCCTAAATTAGATAAGTTTCTATTCATTATTCTCATGAGATAAAAGCGTTTACAAGGAAGTGGAGAAATGACAAGTCCTAGGAGGTGATGTAGGAGAAGGCTATAACGAGATCCGTAGACACCAAGGTGGGGTATTAAGTATGGGAATTGAAAAGAAAGTTCACGAAATAACTTGTTGTTATTCAACTGACCTCCAATGTTACTTTCTTGGGGGAAGCTTCGCAAAATGCAACTTTTCCATAGAACCCATAAAAATGTACACCCGTGTTTTCACAAGTTTTGTTGTTTTTCTCTGTGACTTCGTGGTTGCTATTGTAAAAATTATTCGGACCTGTTTGAGAACTCATATTGCCGTTCCAACAAATAATTAAACTATCAGATTGGCAAACCTACTGTAAAGGAGACTAATCCGAATATTCTATGCGTGCGGCTTTCTATTATACTATTACATTTCTAGCCAGTGGACGGAATTTTACGCTAAAATAACTCTTCAACCCAAAAAGAAGAAACGTTGCAATTACTCCTTGTTACTGTAATGGTAAATAATTCCCCAAAGTTTCTAGCCTAAAGCATTCTTCACTCAACATTAGATGCTGTTTTATTCGTCATCACATGTGATTTAAATCTTTCACATAAGTGACATAATCGTCGGGATGTTATTTTGGCTACTGACGACATTAGTACTCAATACTGAACATGGATGATTGTTCACCGAACATTTGAGATAAAATGGTGACTGTATCATCGAATGACAATTCACGTGAATTCTTTAGCAGAATGAAATTAAAATATTTGTTGTGCTCGACAGAACCAAGTTTTCGTTAAAACAATCGAACTTTCGCAGCATCATCAAACATGGTATATTCAATACAAAGACGCATTTGTAACCACTGAATTATGAATCAATTACAAGGCTAGACATTGGATCATAAATTGAACTCACAGAGAAGAGACCTAATCAGCAATAAGTAGATAGAAATTAAAAAAATAGACTGATCATTTCAAAGGACTGTCAAACCCAACATCACCTATAACTCGTACACAAAAATGTCAGTAAACACCAATCTCTCGACAAAAGCAGAAGTTTCCAGTGTCATAAAATTACTGGAAGGCAGTGGAAAAAGCGGCAGAACCACAAGGGATTACCCCGGAAGCACTGAAAACGGACCCAGAGACCTCAGTCACCATCCTCACGCCCCTATTACAGTAAGTTTGGAAGGAAACGTCCCTGCTGATTGGAAGAAAGGCTATCTTGTCAGGCTACCAAAGAAGGGTGACATAGGCCTATGCTAAAACTAGTGTGGAATTATGTTCCTATACGCGCTAAGCGATTATTAAGTCACGTTATCCTGGAGAGACTGAAAGATGCTTTGCATGCGGAACTCCGCCCCGGACAATCTGGATTCAAGAAAGGCGAATCATACGCAGATCGAATTGAAACTCCACACATCACCATGGAACTGAGCATAAAGTGGAAGTCAAATCTCTATCCCAGTCCCACCGACTTTGAAAATGGCTCCGACAGCGTTGATCGCAAGGCAGTTTGGAAACTAGTTCAACTATACGGAGCGCCCGTATCCTTCGTTTATCGCCCTCATCCGATATTTACATAATAACGCACACCTCAGGTGATCGATAACATGAGCGTATGAAGTGAAGAGAGGAGGAAGACAATGCTGGCTACTTTCATCGACGATATTCCTAATCGTGGTGGACTGGAGTATGTGGGAGACTGTGTGGAGCGAGAAGAATATATTAGACTGACAAGGAGACTCTAGAAGATGTGGATTTGGCGGACGACTTATGTTTAACGTCACACAAATTCGATTATTTACAGGGGAAAACCAACAAGTTGGCAGAGGAAGCCGGAAGGAAAGACACAACTGTAAGTAAACATAGCGAAGGTGGAGGTGATGAACACGACCAACCAACCAACAACAATAACAGGCATCAGTCACTATCGACGGAAGAAATTTAAACGAGGCCACTTCTTCCACTTACTTAGGCAGCATCGTTTCAACTACAGACAGCACGGAGACTTAGCGCATCACGGAAAGCATTTCCAACAGTCTGCTGAAGATTTTCATCAATATCCGCCTTCACTGTCCTGAAACTGAGTATCAGATGGTCAGAAATAACTAGCAACAAGGAACTTTGGTAACGAATCAACCAAGAAACTTCTACTCAACAGATATGCCAAAGGAAATACAGATGGATTGGAAACACACGGAGACGACCGGTTGGCAGACCCACCCACGATCGCAACTCAAGAGGGAAACGACGTGTTGGTCATTCGAGAGTGACGTGGAGGAGGTGATGACAACCCTTGGACAATTGTGGAGCCACCTGAAGAGGACTTCGGAAAACAGGATGAAATGGAGATGTGCCGTTGAAGCTTTATGTTCCACTCGAAACACAAGGGAATAATAAAAAATCATAGTAATAACTGCAATATTATGTTTGAGTATCGCTTATGAAGTGTGGCGACTTGGGTCATGTACAGGTTTGCAAAAATCTGCTTCGGAGAACTGATTCAGCCGGGATGATGTTTCAAGATATAAAGAGAAGAACACCTTAGAAGGCACAGATTTTGCAGCTGACTCACGCCTAATTTGCCACACACACACACCCACACGTTCGAAGATGTATGAATGAAAATGAACATGTTGACAAGAGGAGCAGAGAAGACAGGATCTCAAGCGAATACAGAGAACGCAACCACATGAAAATATTTATGTATTTATAGTAGTGATAATGATAGTATCACTGGAGAATATTTTATTACTATTCGGTCACTTTTGACGTTACAAGTGCTACTTAATAGAAAAATAAAACAACAATCGATGAAACTCATCAAATTTTGAGTACAAAATGAAAGCGAATATTGTGTAAGCCAATGGAGGAAAAACTAGGAGAAAAGAAACAGAAACACTGAAATTTACATGTGACGTTAGCTAATTTTCCCACCTATCCCCTCCCCACACACTGCCTTTGCTTTCAACTATCAATGTGTATGCAAAAGGATAAAATAAGTTTAAACATGGATTCCAAAAAAGTGATGTATGCATGTATATGACGCTCAAGACAGTTTTCTGGCTTAAGTTCTATCCATGAAGTTGGAGAATCCCACCCCACCCCCCCCACACACACACACTAACACTTGTGTGAAATGAAATCGAATTCAATGAGACTACTGAAAGTGGTGGAAACAAAAAAAGGAACAAAGAAACTAACAAAGTGGAAAGATTAAGAAAATGTAAGAAATGATATATGGTGTATATCAATTGAAATTGGTTGTTGTCGCTGTTGTTGTTGTTGTCACTTTTCGATAAAATTAGGAGGAAAAAGCAGAACAACAACAACAACAGAATATAACAACTTTTACGAGATGTGAGTACATTTCTCTGAATTACACGCCCAGTAGTATTCATTTACTAAGAATATTATTAGGGTACATACGTCAAGAGGAACAACAAGGAGATTTTCGTGCATAGAAACAGAAGAATAAAGACGGAGATAAAATAATGGTAGTTCAAATTCGTTATATATATTAGATGGAGTAGTTATGCCGATTAATCTGTAATCAGTCAAGTGAGCAAGTGAACAAGACACCTGTGTGTGTGCGTGTGTGTGTGATCAGATTGCGATGAATCCACAGAGCTAAACGACTAATCTACGACTAAGAAGTCAGTATTCAACCGTCAAATGTGTTTAACAAAGGCAACAGAATAAGTATACGCACACACACAAACACACACAATGATATATCTATGTACAAAACTAAGATCTATTCAGGAATCCACTCAAACAAACAAAAATAGCATTGATTCCATTGAATTCAATCTAAGCAATTGTTATAAGTGGCATAGAATGTTGTTCTTTTTGTTGTTTCGATTGTTGTTGTTGTTGTTCTGGAGGTGGCGGTGGCTGTTGACCTTCGAATGTTGCGGTCGACGACGACGACGACGATGATGATGATGATATAATTGACGTATTCTCACCAATTTCATTATCACAATTAATCACATTAACAACTGAATTGGTTGATTGTTTCCCATTACCAGATTTGATTGTATTCTGTAGTAGCACTACTTTATCATTGTCAATATTCTTTGCGCCATCACCACCACCATCATCATTGTCACTATTATGCTTATTAATTGAATTACTAGGATGATAACTATAATAATCACTTCCAGCTGATGTATCATCCACCATCTTCTGATGTTGTAATTCAACTACTTCATTATTAATATTATTACTGTCATCGTGTTTAGGTATGCTGAATAATACAGAATTGTCAGTAAAACAACTTGATCGATTTGGAAGAGTTTGTTGTTGTAATGACGAATCACTCAGTTTATTCTCATATTCATCCAGTGTATACGATGAGCTTTCAATGCATCGTTCACGTTTAAATATACTTAAAGTACCTTTAGCTTTATTTTCATGTAAACTATACAGAAAAGAGAAACAAAAAAATAAAAAAAGAAAGAAATTGAATTAGACAGTAACTGGTTTACTAAAATAAATAAGGCAGACATTATTATTATTATTATTATTATTATAGAAAAAATCCCCATTTAGACATTTAGACAACAGAAAGATTGAGCAGCGAAGAAATATTCACTTTTCAATTAGATCCTCATCTCACTTTGGCTCTACTCTACTCTACTCTACTCTACTCTACCCTACTCTACTCTAATATACACGTATAGCATTTTTATTACAATACACAACAGTTTACCAATCACCAAGTGGCACCAAGTGATATGTTTGTTAACAATAATTAGTCAGTGTCAAAATGTCAATGGGTTAATTAATAATTAAGGAAGATAAACATTTAACACATTTAAAAGGTAGAAATGGTTAGAAATAATTAATTTAATTCTACAAGGATAACACGTAATTAAAGATGAAGTGGTCAAAATAAATAAAAAATAAGATAGAATAATTTGGACAATTATAATTTTTATAATTTTAAAAATTTACGGGGAGGGGGGGCGAAGTAGTCCGGTTTATACATTCATGTAACGATGGCCAAGGAAAGGAAAGTGGCTGTACAAATTTCTTGTAAACACACAGGTTTGGCTTCTTCAGGTGGATTCCTATTGCTTCCGCTGTCTGAAGAAGACGAACTCGTAGAGCAAAATTAAGATTAGTAGGAATGCGATAAATAATTTTAAATGCAGTATTCACATCAATCTTATGCTCAGTATCAACGAGGTGGGCTAAAATACAGCTACGAATAGATATTGTTTGTCGCATGCTTAACCATACTGAATGATGTTCAAAAATACGATGATGAACCAGCCTGATTGTACGCCCAATGTAGCTGGCTCCGCAGTTGCAGTCAAACCGGTAGATACACATAGAAGAGGTAAATTTAGGTAGTTTATCCTTACTTCTAGAACGTAGAATTATTATTATTATTATTATTATGATAGTTATATATTATTGTTCCTTTGGGATAAAACGTGAAAACTCTGTTGGGGACTATGTGTGATATGCATGTCACTGGGCTATACTGTCCTTCTTCTTGAGAAACTTTCCTCCCCTGCATTCCGAGTGGAATAAAGGAATTCACACTTGAGCCTTAAAGTTTCAGTCACTTTGGTGTTGGGGTTACGCTAGTCTCAATCCCAACCTTTCCTCTTTACCGGGCTGACTACCGGATAGGCGACGTTTAAGAGCGCGTCGGCCAGGAATCGTACCTCGACCATATGTGTCTGAAACACGGAGTGCTTTATGATTTTTCATGCCTTCCTTGGGCGGTGTCATGCTAATGTTTCCCGTATAGTTCCAGTTTTAGTATGCATATATATATATATACACCATACGGAAAATCCGAAAAAAAAATTCTACGCCTTCCAGAACTTGATTTAATCTACTGATGAGATTTGAAAATGGCGACAGGGTGTTTGTGTAACCTTACAGTGAAGTATGCTTGTATAACGCAATCCTTAAGCATATGTTGACACACTATTTAATAAGAAATTAAATTTAACACAGTCTTGTTCAAAGAGGCAATATTACTTCTAATATCAATAGATATGATAATTGGACTATAAACATACAACAACAAACCTACTTAAGCATCCGATAGACAATGAACATGAAACCATGACTTCTACATAAAATATAAATTTTTCGAGCATCATATCCTGCCTACTCTAATAGCTAATACAAAAGAGATCTTGCAAACTGAACAACTCGATATTACCAGGTGCAATGTTGACATCTTTTTCGTTCTAAATATCATTAAATTATGGTAGTACAAAATACAAAAATGCCCTATGATAAATATGACACTTGAAAGCGAGGAAAACAATGAACTCGGAGGGTTTATTTGGTAAGCAAAGACATATTAAGTCCATTCAAAGGTTTATTTTGTAGGCTATTCCACGAAAAAATGTCGTTTTCGACTCTACAGCAGTATGCACTTATGATTGCATAGCTTTAATGCTATCGGCCGATCATGTATACCAACCAATTGCTTTTAAATTATTGTATATATTATTGCTGCCTTGGATTCCGAGTGGAACATACTGCCCTCACACTGCCCAATATTCTCTGTGGTTCTCTTAACCTGTGCCCACAATTGCTTATAGGCACCCATCTCCCCTTCATACTATCTCCACTGTGTTACCTCAGTCATAGTCCCAACTCGACATTTCCTACTCGGGTTCCATTCGAGCGATGGCCTGACGCGTCATGTCATTCCACCGTCTCCTCAGTGTGTGTCCGATCCACCTCTATTTTCTCCGGCCATAGTCTAATCTAATAATAAGCCGAAAATACGGCTTCCAAGTCTGACTTGAATTTCAAAGAATCTGTGTTTGACACCAGTTTGGTCACTTGTACACCTGTTGTTATTTTCTTGTCAACCTTTTTATAAAGACTTCAGTCTGAATACCTTAATTAGTGGTGTACATCTTGTCATTCATTTCTTAAACAGTTCTACCTCATCACTATCATCATGTGCTTCACATAAATGCATAAATCAGTAATCAGAGAAACATACAATACAATACTGGGAACTAAAATATGCCAATAAGCGTAAAGCCCAAAACGGACACAGCAGAATATATTCAAAATGTTTTCAAGTGTATTTTTGTCGGAAGAATTCATTCCCACCAAATATACACATTAAACAGTGTAGTAAAAATCTCTAGTGTGTGTGTGTGTGTGTGTGTGGTATATATATACTTTTACTAAAATTTATTTATACATACAATAAATAACTGTACAACCAACGAAATACCAGTGTATCAACACTACTTCAATACTCTACACCAGTATGTATGAGATAGATTGACTCGGGGTCAGGCAAATTAAGATGATTTTCTGATCTTTCAATATTTCATATCTCATCATCACATCAGTCATAAGTTAATATAACTGTGTGATTTGTCAAAATAAAATCTTATGCATAATGGAGTTATACTCTACCACAGTGCCCAAGTATTATACATAATTATATCAACGTCACATATCTAGTTCAATCCTTGAAAAATGAGTCATGCTACCTTGACGACTCACTTTCTAATCTCTCATACCTTATCATGTGATGCTAATACTTGAAATATAGCCAGTATACTATATTAATTTTTTAAACAGTAACATGTTACCATAACAATCTGTATGTTTATTAATGTGTGTGTCGATCGTATGTATTCTAGTGCTATTAATTTTTCCTATGTGACTATGACTGGATGTATATTTGTCAATCCTCAGGTGTCTGAGGTTGTTTTAGGATCATAAAAATTGAGTAGATAGTGTGTTTACCATTTTAATAGTATACATATATATATATATATCTTTCTGGTCTGACTAACGATTTAGCGAAAAAATGCCTCTTAGTCAGATTATAGCAAGAGCCCAGGCAGTAAGCAATATACCTGGCCTGTTGAATGAAAAAATAATATAAAATTTGTACTAAGATAATTTAACAGAGTATAGTATATCACTTTAAGCTATGACTAGACTAGTACAGGATTGCAATCCCAGTAGGAACACTATCCTACAGAAATAATAACAAACCATAAATCCCAATTGAAGTGAATATAACAAGAAGCCAAACAAATTGTTCTGTTTCGGTAAAGAAAGCATTTATTATAATGCTTACTAATTAGGGTGCAGGATTTCATCATGAGCTGACACCAGTTAGAGAGCGACTGGAAATCCTGCAGGAAGTACTGGACAGCTGTTTCGTCCTAGTTTGGGCCTCTTCATTAATGCGCACCCAGCGGGGTTCAAACCCAAGACCTTCTGGTTGCAAGGCGAGCTCGTTGACTTAGAAGAAAAAGCTGTCTACGGCACCTCTGTCTCGGTCTCAGCCTTTTATTCAACATATTGGTAGAACAGAGGCAGTGAAGTACGTGATTTTAAAGTAAATTAGGTTATAAAGTGATAACAAAATTAATAAGAGACTGGGGAAATTGAAATATCCTTTGTAGTATTTCGGAACATACTTAGCTATATAAACACTACAGCTTAGGATTTTGAAATAATATGAACAGCAATCCCAAAACCATCTATGGCTTTTAATTCTTTTAATTCGTAATACAATGAATACATAACCAACGGTTATTGGAGAGTGTTAAATCGACAGAGGAAAAATTTTTTATCAGAATAACATTGTGAGATAACACTTTCACTACTGAAAACTTATCACAAATCCTTGTTTACTTATTGCACACTTGTGCGATGCAAAGCGACAAACTGGGAAATAAAATTGTAATTCCCTGTGCGTTGGTGGCACAGTGGTTAGGACTCCCGCCAACCATGCACATGGTCCGGGGTTCGAGCCCACACCGGCGCACACCTGATATCTATGGTCGGCCTGGGAAATTTGGGCTACCGATATCCACGCTGAAAATTCCATACTTGTACCAAAAATACAGTGTGGAATCAAGCTGTAATAAAAAAAATAAAAAATAAATAAAATAAAAATAAAAAGATGAATAAATGTTTCTTATTGGCCACTTTTTGCCTACTTGAAACTTTAAACAGTAGTATACAACTTCATTAGTAAAAAAAGATACATTAAAATAAGATCGTTGCATCCCCATTCAACATGATACGAACAACACTACGGAAACAACAATAAAAGCACGCTTAAAATTAAATCAAATTTACCATGAGTTGATGACTTAACGCAGAGAAGAATACATTATTATTATTATTATTATTATTATTATTATTATTATTATTATTATTATTATTGTATCCTTTAGTTCCTAGAGGAACATAGGGCTTCAGCTGCGCACCTCCATTGCCTTCGGTTTTCTGACAACTTTTTCACCCTGCTCCAGGTCTGTCCACATGCTTTCATATCCTCCTCGCATGACCTCCTCCAAGTCACCCTTGGACGACCAACTCGCCGCCTCCCTTTCGGGTTCCATTCGAGGGCTTGTCTAGTGATGTCACTTGATGGTTTCCTCAGCGTATGGC